TCGGTTAACAAAGTCACGAAAGTTTCTAAATTTTCAAGGCAATGCTGCCTTGTGCTACCATTTCCCTTTTCTAAATCATTTGGCTAATGAAATATTTTCAAACATGGTTCATTTGTGTATACAATGTCTAAGTGACATTCAAGATATATTTTCTTAGGTGATTAACACCAAGAATTTCGAAATAACAACTCCCAAGTCAAAATTGGCCATTCAGCTAAGAGAAAAGGAAAAGTTTTCAGATTCGAAGAGCAATTTCGGGACATCATTTGCATATCAAAATGGTCTTAGAATATCACCAAATTTTACACAATTAAACCTCCATATGAGGACTACTACTCTATCAAATTTCATTTAAAAATTCACACGGGAAAGTAGTTAACTAAACCATCAAAGTTCAAGAAATTTTCCATGGCAAAACTGTCTTCTAGCTCTTCTTTTCTTTTTTAAACATTTTGTCCAATGCAACCAACCCAAATCTAGTTTATTTGTGAAACAAAGTCCAAGGAACATCTAATATAAAGTTTGGTAAATGTTGGATATCAAAGTTTCCAAAACAACAAGTTTCAAATCAAGTTAGGTCATTTAACTAGCCAAAAAAGGATTTTCAAGCAAAAATCTAGGTCTGTAATTTGGTCATATCTCACTCAATTCAACTTGGAATTGAGCATAGTTGGTGGCGTTGAAACCTAGATTCATAAAGCTACAAGTTCTCAGAAGAAATCATTTTCAAAATCCGTCCACAACTAGCTCACATTTGAGCATCAATTTGTAGTTCATGTTCCGCCCTGTAGTGAACCAACAAAACAGGACAGCAAACTTCAAACGAATGCTTTGGCTCACACAAGAAGAACCAGGACATGCATTTTATACCAATAGAAAGCTGGAAATATCTAGTTTCCAGTGCCATAAACGAAACTCAATTTTGACATCGGAGTAAAAAGTTATAGCCGAAACAATAGGACTGCCTGGGCAATCCGGGAAAATTTTCTAGTTCTGCCATACTTTGAAAATCAACACATTTGACCAACCAAATCATGTTATTTTTCAACGAAACTTTCTACACTATCCATATAACATGTATGCATCATAAAAAAGCCATTAGAACTTCAAAATTTTGTACCAAAGTGCACGAACAGGGCAGGGGTAAAATGGTCACTTTTACTCATTGCACCATCCTTGAGTTTCTATCAACAACCCAACATTATTCCACTAATATAAGCACTAAACCAACATTAATTTCATCATCAATTACCAAATCAGTCCATCCAATCAAAGTGGGAGTTCATAGAGCCCACATAACAAAATTTCCATCCATATAACAACACCCACATGAAGCTACAAGCTTCATATCAAAGATCCATCCACTAAAACCAAGACTAGAAGATTAGATGATTACCTCCTAGCTTTTGAGATGAAACCAGAAATTTTGACCACTAAAAAACTCCAAGAAATCGTGGAAATGATGCTCCTCACCTGGCTAGAGTTGTTCTTCTAGTATTATGAAAGTTGTGTACAAATTTTGAGGTGAAATGGTTGGATGAATGAAGGTGAAATGAGAAGAACTTTGTTCCTTCTTCTTTGCTTAGTGTATTCGGCCAGCTTGAAGGAGAAAGGAGAGAGATGGTGCTAATCAAAAGAGGCTTCCTAAAGAAGGTTGGTGGTTGGTGGCCTTTTACACAAAACTCAACTCTTAATGGTACGCGTACGCGCACGTTTCGTACCTCCATTTTTTTTCGGGTTTGTTTCAATTGTGCACTAAACCTCTAATGCACCTGTATTCATGCTATTATTATTCACTCTTAATGGTCTAAAAATAAAGGCCTTAAGTCCCTTAATTGAGCGTGTGCGTAAAAACATGTACTTCCAATTTAAGCGCGATAAAGTGAAATCTCCAAGAAATTCTTATAACGATAGTACTGCTAAGTAATACTTGAGTACTTAAACATAAAATACCTATTTTTAAGACTGATGTATAAGTCTCCAATTTTTCAAACTTATTGTATTCTCAAATCAATCACTGTTTCGAAAACGCGTATTCACTATTCTCACTTAACAAGTTTTCAAAAATTAATTTCCATAACAAGTCATTTTAAAAATACATATAAGTCATAGTTCCATGTAATTGGGTCTAAAAAGGTTAGAAAATAAGGGCAAACAAGCAATTAAATATTTAAATAAGCTCGTAACAGGAGTTTAAAATAAATACATTTTTACGAGTCCTCACGACCTTTCTTAATCTAATATTGATCATTCTTACTTTTTCAAAATTAATACACTCTCAGTTCAAATATAGTCTCGAAAAGTATGTACTTGTTGTTCCGAATTAAACGAGTTTTCGAAAAGTAACTTTTCTAACAAAACGCTTTAAAAACATAAGAGAAGCGTTTTTTCATATAAATGGATTTTAAATAGTCAAATTAAATAATTAATTAAGCCAGTAAAATGAAATAAAAAAAAGAAAATTTTCAGGTCCTCACACACCGTGCTCTCTTTAGAAGTGTCTGATTCATGCATTCTGCTACACCGTTTTGTTGTGGTGTGTGTCGAACTGTGTGATGCCGAGCAATTCCTTCATCTTTGCAGAACTCATCAAACTCCTTTGAATAGAATTCCATATCATTATCAGTTCTCAACCTTTTGATCCTCTTTCCAGTTTGATTCTCCACTAGGGCCTTCCACTGCTTGAAGTTCTTGAAAACTTCACATTTTTCCTTCATAACGATTACCCAAGTCATCCTTGAATAAGCATCAATCATGAATAAAAAATACCAATAGCCTCCCAAAGACTCAACTCGTGAAGGACCCCAACAGTCAGAATGGATGTAATCAAGTGTGCCTTTTGTCCTGTGAATTGCCTTCTCAAACTTTCTACGATGTAGTTTACCGAAAGTACAATGTTCACAGAATCCAAGATCGGTGACCTTATGGCCTTCTAGAAGATCACATTTAGACAGAATCTGCATCCCCTTTTTGCTCATATAACCAAGCCTAATGTGCCACAGGTTGGTCATATCAGACCTGCGATTTTCAGAAGATGCAATAGCAGCAGCGGCAAAACCTGTTAGCATAGAACCCTGTAAGATGTATAGGGTGTCATGCTTAACTCCTTTGAGAACCACTGATGAATCTTTACTGATGCACAACTCTCAACTTCCTCCGCTGAACCTGAAACCCTTACTGTCAAGAGTACTAAGTGATATCAGATTCTTCGTCATTTTGGGAACGTGCCTGACTTTGTTCAATGTGGCAACTTTTCCAGCATGTGTCCTGATCTTCATAGAACCGATCCCAACAGCCTTGCAGACAGCGCTATTAGCCATCACGACATTTTCGCCATCTATTTACTCATATGTTGTAAACCATTCCCTATTTGGACATATGTGATAGGATGCCCCAGAATCAAGAACCCACACATCAGAGTGATGTGTTGGTTCGTTTGCAATTAGGGCCAGATCTTCATCTGAATTTATCGCCCCTTTCTGCAACTGAAATTGAAGCATGTTGTTTTTCCTGCTGCTTCTTCTTCTTAGGGCAATCTGATTTTCAATGATCCTTTTCCTTGCAGTAGTTACATATATCATCCAGTTTGGGACCTTTAGAGAACTGCTTCTTGTTTCCAAACTTTTTTTTTTCCAAATTTGCCTTTACCATTGGTGATTACTAACCCAGCAGCCTGATTATCTGTAACATTACCAGCTGCCTTATGGCGCAACTCTCTACTATGCGGTACTGATCTTACTTTTTCTAGAGTCACAGTATCTTTGCCGCCAATAAACGACTGAACAAAATTCTCATACGATAGCGGTAGAGACATTAACAGAATCAACGCGGCATCCTCATCCTCAATTTTAACATCAATATTACGCAACTCAAGAAGAATCGTATTTAATTGATCTAAATGTTCTCGAAGAGGAGTACCTTCCTGCATACGCAGACCGAACAGACGTTGCTTTAGGAGCAACTTGTTGGTTAAAGACTTTGTCATGTAGAGACTTTCAAGTTTAACCCACAAACCCGCAGCAGTTTCTTCACTGGTGACCTCAGTGATGACATCATCTGCCAAGCACAGCATGATTGTCGAGTGAGCCTTTTCCTCCAGACTCATCGACTCTTTGTCAACGGAATCTGATTTCTTCTTCGTCAGCGGACTCCACAGACCCTATTGCTTAAACAGAGCCCGCATCTTGATCTGCCACAGATTGAAACTATTTCTCCCGGTGAACTTGTCGATCTTGATGTTCAATGCAGACATATTGTTGCGAGACCCGAGTCCTAGGATGAAATCTAGAGCTCTAATACCAGTTTGTTAAACAAATGCAACGGAACGGAAGAACAAACAAGAACAAGCAAGAACAAATTTGGGAGAAATTAGATTTTTCTATTAGGGTTCGGAATGTATCAGATATTTTGTACAGAATAGATATAAAATGTATATCTACAACCAAATAACCAAAACGGACTGGACCCAAAAATTAGGCCCAAAAACTGAGACACCCCCCGAACAGCTCAACGGAGGTCGAAGATCTGATTCAAGGCATTTCAACACGGTCACTTAATCTTAGTTCTAGTTGGTTAATCTTTGCTAGGAAGCTTGTAGCTTCATTGTTATTGTTGTGGTTTGAGTTTAAATGTTGGAATGGGCTCTATGAAATCCCACAATGGATATATTGGACTGATATAGTGATAATGAATGTTGTTTGAGGTAATTATATGTTAAACAAGATGATATTTGGGTAGGAAAGTGAAAAGGAGACCGATGGAAGTTGATGTTAGGTATGAACGAATCTGTCCTATTTTTGCAGTGGTTTGATTTTGAATTTTTGATGCTCAAGACCTTGAAACTGATGTATATATGTTGTATGTGATGTGTATAAAGTTTCTACCAAAAATCATTTGGATTGGTTGGATAAAAATTGAATTTTGGCAAGAACAAAATCTGAAAAACGTGTAACAGTGGTCCTCTGGTAGTGTTCTTTGAACGAACATATCTCTCTGTCCGGATGGCGGAATTGAGTCCTGTTAGTGGCATTCAAAACTAGACATCCATAGTTTTCTAATAGTGTATTATGCATCTTCTAATTCGAACTGAGGCATCTGTAATGACTAATCAAAGTTGGCTGCCCTGTTTTGTTAGTCCAAACGAGAGGAAGTTAGAAACTGCAATTTGTGGCTCTATTTTCTCTCATTTGAAAATTGAATTTTAAAATGATTTGCTCTGATGAAATGTAGCCTTTTGAAAGTAGTTTCCAACACCACCAACCATGCTCAATTTCAAGTTGTATTGAGTGAGATATAGTCCAATTCCCAAACTATAGAAAATCTGAAAAACCCTAATTTTGGCTAGCCGAATGACCTAACTTGATTTGGAACATGTTGTTTTGGAAATTTTGATGTCAATCACCTACCAAATGTATATTAGATGTTTTTAAACCTTGGTTTCACAAATGAGTCAGCTTGGAGTTGATTTCATGATACAAAGTGTTTGATAGGGAAAGAGAAACTTGAGTTGGCAGATTTGTTTTGAAAATTTCACAAACTTCAGTTGTTTTGTTAACTGCATTCCCATGTGAGTTTTTGTGTGAAATTTAGTAGAAATATAGTTCATATATGGAAGATTTAGTGTACCAAATTTGGTGTATTTTCAGTGCCAATTCGGTGGCCAAATAAGACTTCAAAGATAGCCTTTCAAATCTGGAAAATGACTGAACAGTTTATAAAATGCGACCAATTTTGAGCTGCTATATCTCAATGCTCAAAACTCCGATTTCAGTGCCGTTTGTTGTATTTTAAACTTTGGTTGGAATTATAATTGAGTTACAAATTTTAGATGCTAGTTCACTTTCTGTGAATTTTGTCGAATTTCCAAAGTTTGCCGAAAACCAAGATTTAAACTATCTTGTAGTGCGAATCAGCCACTTTAAGCTGAAATTTGAGTGTTTTCCATTTAGAATCTTGGAAAAGTGTCTTCTAGGAACTTTTAGCACTTTGAAACTAGTTTTCAATGGTGCCAAGTTTTCTAATTTTGGACCTACTAAGTGCAAGACCTAATTTTTCTAAGTTTGACGCGTAAAACTGAAATTTGCCGATTTCTTAGAAAATGAAATTTTGAGAACTTGTTATTCTTTCTTGATGTTAATTGATTGCTTTAAACTCGATTTCATGAAGGAAATCAGTTTTTCTTTGTGTTATTAAACCATCACTTTTGAACTTCGATTTTCGAGAAAAATAGGTTCTCTTTTGAGACTTTGGTTTAATCTAAACAAGTGGATATTCTTTCTTATGTGTTACGTGGTAGTGGGTTTACGTGAGTGATGTATGGTCACTATTTCTTCAGGTACTCAAGAGAGTCTTGAAGAGAATTCCGGAGGGGACAACTAAAGACTTTACTCGCTCAATTACTTTTGAATTGGTAAGTGTCAAGTGCATGACTTGTTGTGTTTACTTGATTTATCTGCTTATATACGTGAATATCACTTGGTGAGATGAGTGTATACTTTATCGCACTCGCTCTCCTTTACTCAAACTTTACTTGCATTAAACTTGATTTTCAAAGTCGATTGAAGTGAATCTCGTCGGCAAAATATACTCATTTACGTGTGCATGTCGTGTTGTCGTATATGTCGTGTTTTCGAGTGGAGTGAACCTCCTCGACTTATGGGGACACCCAAATCTCATTGGCCAACCTTGCGAATCGAGCTGGTATAGACTTGGTCGAGAAGTTTGATGAACCATGGGATTATTACAAAACACAACTTGATCTTTTGAGATCTTGTTCGGCATACTCGTGGAGTATCACCCTTTTCGTGTGTGTTCTTAAAAACAAAAATTGATCACTTGAGATCTTGTTCGGTATACTCATGTTCGGTATACTCGTGTAGTATCGCTCTTTTTGTGCGTGTTTGGTTACGGATCTGAGAGGGTGGAATGGTGGATGGAGGAAGTATTAAGTGAAATTTCTACCGACTTAATACCTACCCGGATGATGGAATGTCATCACGAGTGAGTATCGGATCGAGCCTTGGCGAAGCAAGTGGAAATTAGCTCCTGAGAGCTCCTGTATCCTTAACAAGTGTGTTATATTACCAATTGTGAATTACTTGAACTTTCTGACTTTAAATCCTGTACATATGTTACTGTTACTTGTTACTTGAACTATGTGTTCACATGTGCATGTTTTGTTTTTTTTTTTCTTGGCCTCACGAGCGTTCGCTCACTCTGTTAGATTTGTTTTCTTAGTAGGACCAAATGGGAAGATTTTGGAGAAAAGCCAACTAGATTACTCTTTTGATTAGTTCCTTGGTTGTAATTGTTTGGTCGACTTACAAAGGTTGTATTTTGGGACTTGATACACTGTTGAATTTGGGATTTTGAATGTATTTGTTTAGACAACTTTTTGAGGTTGTATATTTTGGGAATGAGATGTACTTTTGGTATATTGTAATATAAGATTGAATATCTATGTATGGAAATGACTTCTTTTCTTACGTCGTCTGGTATTAATAGCCATTATTGTATTAAACTTAAACGGGAATTGTACCGAGTCCTGGCGAGAATTGGGCAGGCGTTCCACGGATACCCTTGGATTCGCCCTTGGGAGAAGTGGGGGTGTCACAAATTCAATTATATTGGTGGATTTAAATGAATTATCCATATCATCCATATACATCCACTTAACTTAAAAAAGAGAAAAAGAACATTGTGACTCCAACCATTTATAGAAAAGTGGAATCAAATTTGGTGAGACCACCTATTTTTTCCTTCATAATTTTCTCACATGCCAAGTTGCTAATGGCGTTAATTGTATTTTCTTTGTTTCTAGTTTCTAGACTTTTTCAAAATATATTTTAGTCCCTACTCATTTTCTTTTCTTTTTTTTAAAACTCTCATATAGTAATGGCCACAAACTTGCACATTCTTAAGTAAGGAAAAAGCAAAATGCATCATACAATATCAAAGTATTTTTTTTTTCTTGATAAGGCTTGACACTAGTTAAGATACATAATGACACCTTTCCACTGTAAAACTATATGAATTAATTTTCCCTACACTATCAGTATAAACATTAAAGGAGTTGGATAAATGTCACATTATTTGAATTTAAATTTAAATATCAAATTTTGTATATGTGTCATACATCTAGACCCGCTAGTGTATACACTGTATGTGTATAAAAAATTTACCCAAACTATATTCATTCACCCAAAAGTTATAATAATGTAGCCAAGTTTTTAATTGTTCATTACTTTGTAGGATGATACTTAAAGTAATGATGAAAGGCTAAACTAACCACAATAGCTAGATTTTCTCGAAAATAATAATTTGAAACTGCTTTACAAAGAATTGAAATAGAGTAAAAGCACAAGCATTTGTTAGTACCAAAAGATTTTTAGGTGATTTGAACATAGAACTTCCGGGATTTGTATTATTTGAGAAAAAATATTTGAATCTTAAATTTAGAACTTGGAAGAGTGAATTGATAAATGGATGGATTATGGTTTTACGCTACCCATTTAAATGGCATCCATTTAGATTCATTTATTAAATTGTTTTAATTGGATTGGATCAATTTGATCTACTATTCATTTAACTAAAATCATTTATCAACTATACATGCATTTTGCCACTTCTAGTGGAAACAATATTCAGATATTCTAAGGAGACATCCTAGAGTGTGGAAATTAATTCATTTTGTCCTTGTGTAGCAGGCTAAACTTGAACAGGCCTATTGAATTTGTCGGTACTTGTCCCACTTTCTAAATTATATTAATTTTCTTTTTCATCCTTAGGTTTCAAAATTAGGATTTGGATGCATGGGGCTTTCTGGAATTATGAATGATCCAATCCCTGAAGAAGACGGAATTGCAATCCTCAAGGAAGCCTTCAATAAGGGAGTTACGTTTTTTGATACCTCAAATAGATATGGGATTGACAATGCTAATGAATGCTTGATCGAAAAGGTAATCATGCTATTTTTTCTAGTCTCTCACACTAGAGCTCCCCGATTTGAACCGACGCTCAGACATGTTTTATACCTTCTTCGGCCTTTTGGCTAAGATCCATGTAGTATATGTTCTTATCAATTTAATATCTGATACGTGAGCCATCGGCCCGCATGATATTAAATCAATAGGAGCTTCTCAACTAGTAAGAGAAGGCTTTGAAATAACAATTGCTGTTGGCAGGCAACTTGAAAAGTACCATAAGCTGTTGAATAATGCAGTCACCTGCTCTAACCTTAGAATGGAATTACCTTTCCCTTCAGATTCATCATTCATCATCATTGCATAGAAATATTACAGAAAATGATTTGTTTCCATTTACTTGTGAAATAGCCAAACAACTGTTATATTGGAGGCATTGAAGCAGTTACCCCGAGAAAAGATTCAATTAGCAACCAAGTTCGGCGTACTCGGATATTGTCACGATCATGTTATAGTCAAAGGTACTCCGGAATATGCCCGCTCGTGCTGCGAAGGCAGCCTCAAATGCCTAGATGTGGATTTCATTGATCTCTATTACATCCATCGAATCAACACAACAGTGCCTATTGAAGAAACAGTAAGTGCTGATTCTTTTGTTTTCTTGCCAGTGCCCTTTTCTGTCGCATAACATAGAAGACATCTTGAAATTGCCCAGTTTTATTACTAAAGATAACAACTCACAAGATAGGTGATGAAACCACCAAAAAACGAGGTAATGCAATGATCAAAATATTCCTCCATTCTTTCTTAGGAGCTACCTAGACCAATGTTTTTTAAAACTATATTGAACCGAACGGTTCAATTGGTTAAACCATGAACTAGCTGCAGAATAGTTTAATTTGGCCTCTATTAAACCCAAAAAGATTATACAATTAGGTCAAGCTCAGCCAGAAACTAGTTGAGATAATCAAAACCTAAAAAAAATTGGATAGTTGAACGAGTTGCCACACTTTTGCACATATATTTCAGTATTATCTCAGATGATTAATATTATAATTAGAAAATTTTACATATTGATCCGATATAAGTCAATTGAATCGTGAACCAAAAGCTCATCCGATTCACTCACCAGTTAGAGCTAAAACACGTTAACCTAAATTAGTCAAGATGTGTAACAAAATTCATCTCCATTAAAACACTAGTAATGGATTACGTGATTTGCACGTGAACATAATGCTTTTAGATTTTTTTCTTTAATTTTTTTAGAAAATCAATTATTTTGAAGTAATAAATGCAATTGAGACAAACAAATGTGCTATTTAATAATTATACAATTTTATATTTTTTCTGTACTTAATTTGTCCTAACCTATACAAATGCACAAGCAATAAATCATTCTTTGTTTCAAGAGCACTTTTATTTTGTAATAGTATCAATATTTTTGTCTTTTGGTTAAATTTAGATGACCTAAATGTTCTTTTTTTATGCCATTTGAGTTTAAATATTTTATTTTTTGAATAATTTGTTGCTCACCTTTAAGTTATTCTATGAATTGTTTATTAGTTTTAGTGAGATTTCTAATTATTATTATTTTTTGGTAACAGTGGATTGTAAAATAATCTATAGTGCTATTGCAATTATAATAGTATCCAAATATATTAAAATTTCACTGTTCAAATTTAAATAGCTTAACTTTGAAGAGAAATGTTTTGATTTGGTGAAACTTATTTGTATTTCTCACCAATGACATACCTTATGATTGTAGAATTTATATGATTAAAAATTGTAAGACGTTAAGATTATTTATTAATAGTCAAACTAAACTTGAATATATTTTTATTCATCTTTGAAGTACTACTTGAAATTGATATTTTATACAAAAAAAATATGTTTTGGCTTAATTCACCATAACTCAAAGGGATGTTTCACCTTTGTTATTATTATTATGGTTGGCATTGATGAATAAAATATTCATTTATTGTAGTTTAAGACTATTAGTTGCTACAAGAATATGATTGATAAAGTTCATTAAATTTAATATTTATTGCAATTTAAATAAACAAATTCCCAACATAAAACTCTTTGCCTACCTTGTACACCATTTCCTATTATATTTCGTATTAAAGTTTTTTTACTCAATACTAATATGCGCATATTAAAAAGATGCTCCTAAGACTTAATTTACTTGTATCCAAAAAATAAAAAGACTCGTGGTACTTTTTAAGAAACTCATAGTGCTAATTTATTATGTTTTGTTTCATGTTTGAAGTACTCTCTAAATTTGAATTTGAGGAGTATGTAAGAGGCTAATCTCCTAGGGAGCCTCTAAGGAAGACAAATGTCCAAATTTTATAGTAGGACAATTGCTCTAACTTGCTTTGGTTTCTTTTCGAGTGGCATATGAGTTTTAGAAATATGGAGTGCATTTGCGATGCAAATAGTGTAAAAATACCCTTTTACAAGAAAAAAAAAAACTTTTTGTGCTACAAAAGAGACATGAAAACATCTCAAGAGATTGGATAAATAATATGAGTAAGGGACTAAGCCGAGTGACGTCTTTTTCAAAAAGTCAAAGGTCAAACTTACTCGCATAAAGAGTCGTTTTAACTTACTTTTAGTTTTCTCTCAAAATCAAATGTATAGTTTTAAAATGATTTGACAGCATACGGTACCTTGGTATAAAAATTTGATCCATTTTCTTTAGAAAATGAATGTCAAACAACTTTAGAATAGCATATATGTAGGGTAGATTAGGGATTAATCTCCTAAAATTCCTCTAAGACAGAGAAAAGTTTAAATTACATAGTTGGACAATCTCACTTGCTTACTTTGATTCCATTTATGTCATGAATTACGAGTTTAAAGAATACAGTGGATGTTGCCATACAAGGGATACACTCAAAAACATATTTTAAGAGAATAACTTTTGTACTAGAAAAAAGATTTGAAAACATTTCAATAGATTTGATATGTAGTGTAACTAGAGGGCCAACCCCCCACGGCCCTCTCGAAAAGTCAAAAGTCAAACTTACGTAGATAAGGAGTCATTATAACTTACTTTTAGTTTTTTTCTAGCCGTAGATGTACGCATATGATAGATTTGGTATACTTTGGTACACATAGGAGGCATATCAAACCTTGGTGAAAACAAAAGTGACCTTTTTTCTCTTAAAAATGTATGCTAAAATATTTCAAAAGAGTCGATATGAGGAGTAGGTAAGGAAATGATTTGCTAAGATATTTCTAGGAAAGACAAATGTCCAAATTTCATAGTTTGACAATTGCATAACCTACTTTGATTATTTCTTAGGGCATGGTGTTAAAGTTTCGAAAATATCGTGTACATTTCTGTACAAATGGTATACCCAATACTCTATTATAAGAAAGTAACATTTTATGCTACTAAAGAAATTTGAAAACATCTCAAAAGATTTCATAATAACATGAATAGAGAACCTATCCCAATAAGGTCCCTCTCGGAAAGTCGAAAGTGAAACTTACCTTGGGTAAGGAGTCACTCCAACTTGCTTTTAGTTAAAGTATTTATAAGTCTCTTAGTTATATGTATGGTTGACCTTGTTACATTAAATCAATTACTCATGAAAAATAGTGTCTTATTGAATTTCACACTCATCATATCATCTTTCTTTTAGTTATTGTAACATATAGTATTTTTGGTGGATATGATTATTGGTACAACATACAGTGCAATAAAATACAATACTATGTTGGACAAGAATACCAACTTGTTGATATGAATTACACCCAACTCAAGGAGCAATTTAGTAAGTGTTCAAAGAATTATGGAGTTTGGTTATGTGTGTGGTTGACCTTCTCATATCAAACATATTTAAAGTTGAGTTAGTTACTCACGTAAAAAAGTACCTTGTTGCATTTCACACTTTTTTTTGTCTTTTTTCTTTTAGTTGTTATGTCACATAATATTATTTACTAGGTACGGAGTATATAGAAAAGTAAAATAAAAACACGCCAGCATGCTGGAGGATAACACAGAATTAAGTGATATAAATTGTAACTCATATAAGAGAGTAATTTAGTGCGATTTTAAAAGTATTTAGAGATCTCTTGATTATGCATGTGGTTGACCTTCTTCCATAGAATATATTATGAAACTGAATTAATTACTCATAAAAAAAGTACCTTGTTGCATTTCTCATGTATCTTATATTTATTTTTTTAGTTGTACCGTTTAGTATATTCTGGTGGATATGAATATTTGTACATCATACAATCTAATAGAATACGCCACTATGTTAGAAAGGAGCACTGAATTGGTTGATATTAATTGTTCCAATATAATAGTGTACTTTACTATACTGTACGGTGTACTATTATTCATATCTGTCAAGTGACACTAACTGATACAACAACTAAAAGAAAGAAGATAAGAAAATTGAGACATGCAACAAGGTACTCTTTTGCATGATTAACTAACTCAACTTCAAACATATTTGATTTGAAAAGGTCAATTACATGCATAACCAAGTTTCATAAAACTTTAAACTCTTACTAAATTGCTCCCAAATATGGGGTGCAATTCATATCAACTAAGTTGATGTTCTTATTTAACATAGTGGTGTATTTTATTATATTGTATGGCACACTAATAGTTATATTTACTAAAAGATACTAATTGCAGGGGCGGAGCCAGAAAAAATTCTTAGTGGGGGCAAAATCAACACTAAAATTTTTTACTTACTCTTTTTCTAGTTTTTCAAGCAAAAAAAAAAAATTCACCAACAAGTACAAATGATGCATATATTCCATGATAAAACATAAAAAGACAAATTCAAAACTATTAATGTAATAATAATTTTATTTCAAAAACAAACTAACAATTTACAATTGCTCGCTGCAAGTTTTTATATTTTGATAATTAATTTGGTTGTGGAAGTAAGAATGGCTCTTGGTTGTGGAGGAAAAATGGGGTTAAAATTCGTGACTTCAATTTTCTTTTTTATAAAATAAAGGAGATACGCGCATGCTAAAGTTAAGGATTTATACTCGTTCATTTTCTATATTTGAAGGGTGACTCTCCTAATTCTAGTCAAACAAATAAACTAACCTATATCTAATTTTCTAAATAGAATACAAGTATAAATGTCATATTTTGAACACATAGGGGTAAGGGGGATAATATATACATAAAATATCATGCAAGGTGAGAAAAATACCCAAAGAATGAAAAATATGTATGAAATGCGACGAATGTCATGCAAAAGTGTGAATCTAGCGCAAAAGCGGCCTACAGGGTCTAGCATTGGATTAACTCATTTTTACAAGTTTTCACTAGCATTGGACTAATGAGAAGTCGGAGATACAGGCCATAACTAACATTGGACTAGTGTGGTGACATCATGCATTTATTATAACTAAATAAATCATATAAAATATAATTAAAACAAGTAAACACATAAAACACATAGAGCACATAACACGTAGACATGATATCTAGATGCAAAGATCCTAAAAAAACGAGTAAACACATAAGCACATAAGCATGCAAGCACCCAAGCAAATAAACGTAAATAAGAACCTAACTATTACATTCAGGACCCTAACTACAATCTAAATGGGGAATTCTAAAAATAATAACTTAACTATTATATTTATTTAACTAAATACATTTTTAACAAAAATTAAAACCTATCTATTACATAAGCTAGC